GTTAGCCAAATAATAAATATTTGAATCTTAAATTCATTCCATAGGCCCTAGTTTTCTAATCTCTGTGGTTTGAAACCCAATTAATACTTAATGGCTTTAACATTTCTCAGGGTAAACCTTTGTGTGTGTGTGTGTGTCTGGTGGTACTAGGGCTTGTACTCAGAGCTTGGACTGGATAGGCAGGTGCTTTACCCATGAACCACAACCTCAGTCTTAGGGTGAACCTTTTAAATGAAACAACGTACAGATAGAAAAAGTACAGAGATCATAAGTATGCTACTTAATGAATTTTCACAAACTAAACAAAATCATGTAACTAATTTCCAGGTCAAGAATCTCAGCTCCTAATCCCACAGGTGAATCTTGTCTTTTTCTGAGTTTTATATGAATGGAATCTTTTCTGTCCATCAGCTTCCCCCCCCCCCCACATACACAGTGTATTGTATGAGATTCACCCATGGCACATGGCAGTAGCTCCTTCTGATGAGCTCTTGTTCTCAAATCTACTACTTGATATACAGAGGAAGACTTCCTTCTCTGAGCACAGGCTCTAAGTGCTGAAACAGGCACTCCAAGACTTTGTTAGAGCTATGAGGAGAGTCTTGTTGTTAACGTACCTTTTCTAAACATTTTCTCACTTATCGTCTCATTTCGCCTTCTCACATCCCATGTCAGATAGTTAGAAGTGCCATCATTCCCCCTGGTTCTAATCAGAAGCGGAAGCTATGTGCAGTTATATGATGACATGCTTCTGAGGACAAGTATGACAAAATAGTTACGAGGTTGAGATTGCAGTGGAGGTGTCTGGATTGCCAGTCTGATGCTGTTTCTACCTGAACACACAACCTTTCACTCCTCTCTGGGCAAAAACTATTCAAAGGAAAAATCAGCCATGGTCTAATGTAGCTTTGCTCTGAGGTTTTCATATAGCTGTGTGCATTTGATGTTTGCTGTCCTGGCACCCATTTTCCTTTCTTATTTGGGACTCACATTTTCTGCTTTGTAGGTACACAAGGTTAAGGTGGGGGTTCCATTCCTAGTGGAGAGGACCACCTTACTCCTTTTAGGAGAGGGATGTAAGGTCTGTGTTCTCACCTTTGGCACCAAAAATACCCAAGAATATGTATATGTATGCATCTATCATCTATCTATCTATCTATCTATCTATCTATCTATCTATCTATCTATCTATCTATTTGAGCTAGGGCCTTGCTATTATAGCCCAGGCTGTCCTATCTCAGCCTCACAAGTGCTGGGATTACAGGCAAGTTCTACCATACCTGGCCATATATTTATTTTTGCCTAAGTTATATTGTATTCATGTTTCTGTTCTTTTCTTTTTTGTATGTGATGCCAGTTCTTGCAAAGGAAAAAACCTTAACAGACATGCTTATCCATCATGGCCATATTTTTCTTCCCAAATGCAGAGCCAAAACACCTTCACTCGGAGAGTTATAGCAATGCAGACATGAGGTTTTGTCTTGGATTTATTCAAGGTCTCTCTCCTGAGTCTTCCCTGTGTGAAGTCGCAGCATTGTCATAGGCAACATCTTGTTTTATGCTATGGAAATACTGGCTTTACTCTGCACTCCTTTCACACTGACTGTTCCACCATAGATGCTCACATAATCCACTGGGAAAGACAAGGCTAGAGGGAGAAAAGGAATTTAGAAGGGAAAAACCAACCCAAGCAATGAAGCTACTGATCCAAATAATTTCTGTTCAAAGGCTTCTTTTCTAGTTAGTGCATCCTCCACACTGTCAGCAGAACATTCCAAGACAGAGATCTAGTCATTTACCTGCACTTGAAAAACCCATCATAAAGAGAGGAAGAGTAACCTTGGTGGAGAAACCTGAAAAACACTACCTCAGTCAAGTGGTCAAGGTAAATATCAACAGTGATAAATTACGTTGTTCCATACCACTGTTGATATGACGGTGGTCTTCCTCCTGATAACCCATAATCCTAGTCTAATCACGAGGAGAAAAAAAATACAGTGAAATTCTCAGTGAAAAGCATTCTACAATATACCTGATTAAGGTACCTGAGAACTGTCAAAGTCATCAAAAACAAGGACAGTCTGAGTGACTCACAGCCAAAAGGAACCTAAGGAGACATGAATTAATACTGCAGTACAGTGTCCTGGATGGGACCCTGGAACAGAAAAAGGGCACTAGGTTAAAACCAAGAAAATGCAAATAAAGCTTGGGCTTCAATTAATAATGGATTGATATTTATTCAGTGAGTGACAAATGTACCATACTAATTTAAGATATTACTATACACATATGGGAAGGGATATGCTTATTTATTCCATAAATCTAAGACTTCTAAAAACTGGTCGATTAAAAGTGAAGTTTATTTTAGAATTCATCCCCTGTATTCCTGTTGCTGCAGGAGGTTTCATAAAATGCAGAGACCAAAAATGGTCCTAGAAATGATTTTAGGTGGTTCCTGAACATAGTCTTAAATAGCTCTGAGCCATGGGATTAAATACTCCCTCATAGATCATTTTCAAACTTTCTGACTGAATCACAGATAGGAACTCTGGGTTTAGCCCTAGAAACCCTTCTCAAACCTTTGCCAGTCCTCCTTTATAACAAAGAAAGACAATGCCTTGGGTTCAGAGCTTTATATCATTATTTTTATTCTTAGTATATGATGATATCTACTTATGTACAGCAAGTGACCCTGCTTTCCCATTTATGATAGTGGCATTTTTGCTTAAATTTACTTAAGTAAAAATGTTAGCCCACTCAATTTGAAATGAATTACTTAACTAAATCTACATATTGTTTTCAGATATAGCAAAAATCAAGGGAATAATATGCAAATGACCAACGCTGCGTAGCTAATACTTTTACGTCCATACTCCTTGGCATGGACCCAAGGCCCTCCTATCTGAGGTTATCTGGTCATTAGATACTCCAAATGAAACCTCAAGAATGACCAAGGATGTCTGGGAGGTTGGTAGTTCCTAGGGATTGAGGACTTAGAAAAAAGGCAAGAGACCCATGGATGGTAGGATTTAACCTAATGTACATGTGGAGCATCCCTAGTCTCAAAATCTAAAGTCCAAGGGACTCCAAAATCTGAAACTTTTTGAGTGCAGACATGATGACAACAAGTGGGAAATCCACACTTGATCACATGTGTACAAGATGTATATGAAGCACAATTGAGTTTTGTGTTTAGACTTGGACTCTAGTCCAAGATCAATCATCTCTCTCTCTCTCTCCCTCTCTCTCTCTCCCTCTCTCTCTCTCTTTCTCTCTCTCTCTATATATAATATAAATTCAGATATATATATAAATTCCAATAGAAATATAAATTCATATATATATATATATATATATATATATATATATATATAAAACAAAATCTGAAATAATCCAAAAATATGAAACCCTCTGGTCCCAAGCATTTGGATAAGGGTATTCAACCTGCACTGAGCTTTATCTAGTTTCACTTTCACGTGTGGCTTGATTTCCCTTGGGATCCATAGCTTTACCATGTAGCTGCTTGTTCTCTTGTAGTATCAGTTAACTATGGACAGTCACTGATGACAAAACCAGTTTTATTGGGCCCTGTGTCCATGTCAGGAGCCATATGCAATGTGAAAATACTGTTGGATGGGTACAAGTGGGATGTAAATCCCAGCCCCTGTGTCTTACCTGTCTGACTTGGGACCCAATGTATCCCCTAAGCAGAAGGTCTAGCTAACCACTGGGTTCAAATCTGGGGGACCCTGGGTCAGTTGTCTTGGTGTCCTCTTACTTGTCTGTAAAATAGGGATAATAGCACTGGTGCTTTTCTGGGATTACTGTGAAGATAAATGAGTTCATGTAAGCATAGCATTTAGCATAACACCTGTACTAAATAAATGTTCTATAATTGCGTACTCTTTCTGGTCATCTCTGTGTACCTTCACTTCTTTCACTTATGTAAAATGTGGATCACTTCAGTACTTACCTCATGAGACCATTGTCAGGGATGAAGAGAGTCGATGCCCGGAAGTCTTTGGTATCATGGACTGGCTCCTAGCAAACGCTCCATAATGTTCAATTATTTATTATTCGTGTCTACTTATTATCAGTATGATTACTATTGTGGATCAGCAATCCCCAGCATTAGAATGTCTCTTTAGTCTTCTGTAACAGCAGTTCCCAGATACTAGAAGCTATCTTGGCAGACTTACAGGCTCAGATCACAAGTGTCCCTATATCCAGTCAGTGTGCCTCAAGAGAACTGAAGGTACAGAGTAGCCTACAGTTTAAGCCTAGCAGTGTGTGTGTGGGCTGCTGCCTTTCTTCTGAAAGGAATTGGTTTGTAGGTGAAGAAGTGGAGGTTGCATCTGGCCAGCCGGGTTTACATAACCAGGCCTGAATGATGCACACTGACTGCTTCAGGAAGTTCTATGAGGTAAGGAATTCTTGTCTAACAAAAGTTCTCTTTCTACAAAAAGGTAACAGTGAAAAGGCCAAACAACTTTGCAGGTCCCCCAAAATGCACCTGACTGTGAGGGAGTTTAAATCCATAAACCCATAAAGTACAGAAACCAAATTGACATTTCTCCTGTATTTTTATGGGCCAACTAGAGGGAGACTTTTGTCCCCTTCTGCCCCCAGACAGCTTTCAGGGATACATGTTTCCAGAACTCTGGGAACAGTCTTAGATTGTCATGAACTTACCTTGTCTGTCTGGATCTGTCACTTACCTGACCTCAGTTTCCCTATCTGGTAAAAATGAGGCAATTGGATTATATGACATCTAACATAGATACGAGCAATTACTCACTGATGTTAGTCCCGGTAAATTTTGGAAATTCATTCCTTTAAAGGAACTAAAAGCTGGTTCTGTATGCTCAAAAAGGATGTCTAGCACAGAGGTCATTATTGGGTCTTTAAGTCCATAGGGTTCTTCAAGTGGGGATCCATGATTCCCAAAATATTAGAAACATTCATGATTGGAGCACTTATTAAAGTCAGAATGAACTCACTTCAGAAAGAAACAAGGTTTATTTGATGAATATAAATAAGGCGATTAGCACAAAGTACTTCTCAAACACATGATAACAAATTTATGAACTGTACATACCTTGCACGTTGTACTTCTACTAGACACAAGGTTACAATGACTGGCTAATACATGCCCACTGTGGTTTCGAGGGTTCCTTAGTTTTGTTTGTTTATTTTTTCATATCAATGTCCATAATCACATGGTCAATATCACAACCCACATGCCACTCACTTGAAGAAATGTTACAAGAAGCACTATCAAATGAGGGTTTCAGGGAATTAGATACACTGACCCCTGGCAGCATTCAAACGGCACGCAACACAAACACACCGCAGATAGAGCTCATGTCGATACGTTTGAGGTCTCATCATAAACACTGCTGAAAAAGTAAAACCCACTTTCAAATGAAAGTTGACACGCTGTTAACGTGCATACTGGATACACAAAAATCATTAAATACAAAATTGAGACTGTACAGAGAAATCAAATGGGTTGTAAGTACAAGCCGGCTTTTGCACGAAGTAAGACTTAGACCAACTTCTCCTAAGTGTTAGCTCAAACTTTTTTTTTCCAGCTACATGATAATTAGAAGGGAACTTGCTAAAATTTGCGCAAAGGAATTATCTTCCGGACATCACAGTGTTGGTTGTAAACCCAGAGACTATTTTTAATGTGTGAAAACGGATTATTTTTGTAACCCTCAAACATCAGAGAATATTACATGAAATGAGAAAAGATGCCATGTTAGAATTAAATTTTTCAGGGACCAAACAATATGCTTGCATAAAGGTAAGGTCAGTGATACTTTCAGTGAATGAAAGTGGGGCAAAAAAAAATGATCCCCTAAACAATAGCTGTGACAAAATTGGCACATACATAGAAATAGCTAACTATACATAGTTGGTTCCTTTATTTTCTATTTCACGGACCCTATTTTCCATACTGAATTTCCTACTTCCTACTTCAAGTATTCAGTTACAGAGTTCAGATCTGGACCTGATTGTAGGAACTGTCTCTCTAAGGGCACCCAAACCATTCATGGGGATGCATCTGTGGCTTGGGTTTTCAGTGCAACATTGTGTCAAAATGTACTAAATAAGTTTGCAAAGAACTCTGCTCACTTCTTCAACCAAGACCTAGATCCCTTTGATAGTTAAAGGACAAACGTTTAAAACATGAATGTATTTGGATTGCTTAATGCAACAGGAAAGCTTCACATAGTTTGCTACTTACTGACAACAAGAACAAAGCCAGAAGCAAGAAACCTGCTTGAATATTTGACTCTTGATGCACCAAGAATGAATGGTACAACTCAGGGATGGTTTCATCTTCCCCAACAAATAAAGTGTTTGTCTTTTAAATATCTCTATGGCTCACGAGAGAGGTCCAGAGTTAATTGCACCAACAATTAAAAGAGTAATACTAATGACTAAATTCAATGCAAGACTTCAGGAACATGTGTTTAGAATCCTTTCCACAGCAGCAAAGAAAGACAACTATATTAAGGCCACTCATGCTTAATTCACTGTTTATCCTTTAAAATGCAGGTTTTCATCTCCCACTTGCATACACATGGAAGGGTTTCTTCCATCGACAAGAAAATGGATCAATACAAGAGTTGCACACATTTGCCAGACTCAGTCATGAGCTTTGTGAAGTTACAATGACTTTAATTATTTTTAATCTTCAGAGAAAGCAGTAGGAGTTTAATCTCCTTAGTACCATATCACTGTATGTAAAAGACCTCGAAATTTGGTCTCTTTCCCTGGCATGTGCTTTAAATAATGACTCTGTATCCACATACATGTTGTGTAGAGCTATATACAGATACACACAGCTTTTGTGATTACTCCTCATTCATCAATGTTTTCATGTTGATGTTGAAAATACTTTGGAATTCACACTGGGGACATTTTCTTTTTTAAAAAAAATGAGAAATGACCCTTCATTACAGATAATCTAAGCTTATACTGTTTGCACAGCATTTGGACCTTGAAATGTGAGAGTCCCAGCTTCTTCATGGAGACCTGCCTATACGAGAATGGTAAGAGCCTGAGGCTCAGTCACATCCCAGCTGTGGCGTCCATGGAACACATGGAGTGGATATGCAGGTGCCTCAGGCTTTTGCCACTCTGTGGTACAGAAGCAGGAGGAGAAGAGAAAATGATGAATGACCAATTTAGATGTGCCATGTATTGTCAGAGACACACACCCATGTTCTCATAAGGCGATTTCTTGGCAAGTATTAGTGGTTTAAAAAAATTGATTTCATTTCCAACCTGGCCCAGAGGTAACAACTGGTTATACCATCAAAATGTAGTTCTTCAAACAGCAGATTAAAGAAATAGAGGAGGGTAAAGGCTCGCCATTTTTGGTGTTTTGGTTCTTTGTCAAACACTCCATGCATTGTGGTATACAAACACTGCCAACACCACTCACTCACAGCTAATTCACACCATTTGATAATCTAATGCACTGGGAATGACCACTTAGACTGACCAGCAGAATAACTGGAGGTGAAGCTAGTTGTCCAACAGCAGCTGAGTCCATAGTTAGAATCCCATGGAGTCCCAACGTAGCCAGTGAAGTTTAAGTAACAGAAATAAAATGTTATAATGACACTTAGAAGAGATGGTAGCCTCTCAGATGCTCAAATCCAAAAAAAATTAGAGAATCTGTAATTTTTCTCTTCCTCTGCATTCTTCCTTTCCAGGACATTCAAATCCACCAGAAATGGCATGTGATGATGAAGGAAATACCAAGATGAACAGAATCACGCTCCACAATGAAAGTGAAAACTTCCCTTCGGTTCTGACATGTTGCTCCTGGTGGTGGTGGACAGTGATGTGGGCCGCACTGCAATAGATTATCAGAATATTGCTGCAGAGCTGCAATTTATTCAGCCCTTCTGGTAGCTGCAACAAGAAAGGACAGGATTTAGCAGGCAAAGAAACTGGTGAGTTAATGCTGGCAGAAGCTCCCCTGCCACTCTCTTTAGTTGGGGTTTACTGGGAGTATGGAGGGAGGATTGGAGCAGCAGGGAGCACAGAAAAAGGACAAAGTGAACAGAAAGTTAAATTATGTCCTGCAAATGCATTTGAGAAGAGAACTCTCTCAAACTATGTCACACATTTGTACACAAGTCTCTTGATATACAAAAAAGAATTGAAGAAAAATATGCTAAAATGTTCCAGTGATTATTTGTACATGATCGAATTGTGTCAAGTTTTTTGTCTCGACATTTTTCTGTAATGACTATGGTTTGAAATTTTCTAAGCATGACTCATAGAGATTGGAGAGTTAAAGATCATCAAGATATCAAAAACCTTACATTCACTTATAAACCAAGTAAAAGCAACAATTCAAATGAGCATTGCAATTCTACTCACAGGTATTATCCAAAAGAACTGAAAACGGGGACTCAAACAGATCTTGTATTCAAATACTCATTATTCACAAAAGCCCAAAGAGTCTGTCAACAAATGAATGTATAAACAAAATGTATACATGCAATGTGTACATGCAAGGGAGTATTATTTGGCCATAAACAGAAATGAAGTTCAGACACTTGTTATAACATGGATGGATCTTGAACACATCATTCTAAGTGAAATAAACTACACCAATAGAAGACAAATACTGTATGATTTCCTTAGATAAAATATATAGAACAGACATTCATAAATGCAAAAATTCATAAATTACCAGGGGCTTGGAGGAGGGAGAACCAGGGAGTTATTTGTCAATGGGTACAGAGTTTCTGTTTGTGGTAATGAAAAAGTCGTTGTAATGAACGGGGGTGATGATTCACAACCTTGTGAATATACTTAATTCCATTGAGAGGTACTCTTAAATGGTTAAAATGGTAAATTTGATGTTATGTATACTTCACCACAGGTTAAAAAAATAAAAGGAATATTGGCATATCCTTAAATAGAGAAGAAAGAAACAAAGTTGACTTTCATCCTACATCCAATGACGTATACACATGTTCAGTGATGAACATACATGCAACAGTTATCCATTTGCATACTTTATGTCCTGTCTGGGGAAAGAGGTATTCAGTAGCACCTGAAGTTTTCTCTCCATCCCAGTGTGTGTGTGTGTGTGTGTGTGTGTGTGTGTGTGTGTGTGTGTGTGTGTGGCTAGGTGGGGCGGGGTGGGGGGAGCAGCTGCAGTCTGGGAAGAAACTTGAGCTGGATGAGAAGAGGGGACTATGCACACTGTGACTTGAAATGGTGACTTAATCAACAGGTACTGTGCCATTATCATTCACATAGGCCCTGCAAGTTCTTTGGGAGTCTCCAGGCACATGTGATAGGGCAGCTATCTGGGGACTGTGACAAGGAAGGGAAAGATCACAGACTTGTGTAAACACATGCACACGTGCCTTTTTTTTATATATACAGCCCAAGCTGTATAATTTGATCGTTGATATACAGTATTTCTCAGGCCCCACAGGCTGATGAGACTGCCAAAGATCCCAGCAACTGTGCAGGTAGGCAGCTATTTCAAGCCATCATTTAGCAATGCAGATGAAATATGCGGCTTGGATGAACTCTGCTAATTCATACTCTGAGGAGTTTGGTGTAACCCTTCTGGTTAAGAAACTTGAATCAAGGCAAAAAAAAAAAAATGACTTTTGCAGAGCCAGAAAGTTAGGGAGTTCCTACAGCAGATCATATTACTCATTCTGGCACATAAAATCTCTGCAAACTTTGTATGAAAATTGTAAGTCGAAGCACACTTTCTGTTTCATGAGCTGTGCATAGCTCTAATTCTTTTGTGCACTAAGCATTTCTTAATCACCCTTTTAAAGGGCTGACCAATATATTAAAAGGTCACATGATTAAAAGGTAAAGAGAGACCCAAGGTATTATTAAAATGTACAAGTCATTTTTTGCAGGTGGGGAAATGAGTGAAAAATAATTACAGTGAATGTCTGATGTCATTGATGTTTTTCCAAGATAAAGTAGCAAGGAACAATCATTTATTCAGTTGTGAGAAAGGTTCTCAGCTGGATAGCAGGTCACGAGGCAGAATACAGTGCCTCACAATTACAGCACACTCCTTTTGGGTAAAGTTTACACTGCATGTAAGAGAACTCTCAAAAATTGTTGCAAGTATAAATAGTGATTTTAAAATGTCAATCACAAGAAAAAGTGCAAACAAAATAAAATAAAAACCTAGCAGCACACCTGCTGTATTTTTAGGAAAGACCAATTTATGGCCCTTACTTGGGTCACATCTTCTAGATTGGGTTATTTTTCTTTAATTTTTTTTTTCAAAGACAAACAGCAGATGTAACCAATATAATGTGCATAAACAGTCATAAAATCATCTTCAATAGTATGCTGTACAATTATATTCTCAAATAAAATGAATTTTACTTAAAACCATGTTGCTATTCCTTCAGTCATCTATTCACCAGGAGGTCCACCAGGGAAAACCCTGAGATGACATTGCCAGCTTGAGAAAAGGAGATGATCCCTTGTTAAGGGGCAAAGAAGAATATTCTCTAAAAAAAAAATAAATAGAGGAATTCTGGCTTCCAGCAACGAGGCAATCTGAGCTGCCACCCACCGTGAGATGATCCCTCACCTGAATGGCCACAGCCAGACCCTAACCCCTCCAGTGTCCTTTCTTACAGTACTCAACTTTGCATTTTCCTGGGGGAGCCAACAGTTCTACTGAGATGATGGCCACTCCATGTGTACCTGTCACTTACACTTTCAACCCCTTTTTACAGATTTATAGCTCATTTATAATTCTGTAGCTCTCAGGATGGAGGACCCTCAGACTTCTGGTCATGCTGGAGAGGGCCCCTTTAGTCTCTCCCTCTAGCTCTAGGTCCATACTTAGTCCTGATGTTCCACTCTTCTGTTCCAGCCTCACTGACCTTATTTCTACAGCACTGAAGGCTCCATCTCTCCTCTCCCAAACATGTCTTTCTATCTGACATGCACTTACACCAACTCTCAAGTGGATCAATCTCTGTTTATCCTTGACTCTCAGCTGAAATGTTGTGTCTTCCAGAAAGTTTCAAAATACTGCACTGTCCTTCTCAGATGATTGTCTAGACCTGAACTCTCCAGTAGAGTAGCTACTAGTTACATGTGGCCATCGAACACTTGAAATGTGGCTAATTCAAATTGAGATGTGCTAAAAGTGTGAAATGCACACCAGATCTTGGAGATTTAATATAAAAAAGAATGTAAACGATCCCAGTACAATTTTTATATTGACTTCATATCAAAATAATATTTTAGATGCATTGAATCCAAGAAAAGATGCTAGTATTCAGTCCACCTGTATCTCACAAGTTATTAAAATATGGCCACTAGTGAGCTCATCATTGCTTGCATGTGCAGTACAATGTGGCTTGCATTTTATTTCCATTCAATAGCCATGGTCCAGACCATACCCTGCATGGGAGCAGGGGCAGGCCAGTCTGCTCACATAGCATCCCTTGTGCCTCACAGAGTTCCTGGAATGGAGTGATTTACTCATTGGCTCCATAGATGTTAGAAAGCAACTAGAGAATTCTAAGATCTACCCCTCCCCAAGACTTCCCACCCTAATTCCTGGCATTGGGACTAAGAACATACCAAACTACAATCACATTATTTTACAGAGGTAGTTAAGGCTACTAATCAATTGGTTTTAAATTAATCTAAAGAGAGATTATCCCAGTAGATTTAACTTAATGACAAGAGCCCATTATTAGCAGAGATTTCCCTCATACTGTAGCACAGAAATTTGCTACACTCAACATTGTGTGTGTACATATATATATTCAGTCTCATTTTTGCATCACACACATAAACATAAACGCTTGTAAGTACATACACCAGATCTCTGTGGAGTGTTTTGAAATTGTCTCCATTAGAATTTTTTTTGCAACTTTCAAATATTTTAAGCCAAAGAATGTGTAACTAGTATCATGCTAAAATATAAAGCTATTTCCTTTGTGAAAAAAACTCCATATTGGATGGGATGGCTGCCCTTGGGTGGCTTAGGGTGGGGTGTGGGAGGAGTGAGAAAGGCAAGTTGAGCAAGGCAGTGAGATTCTACCCCAGGACAAGTGTTCCTGGGAGAGTAGGCTATAAACGTGTGGTGTCTCACAAATATTCCTTCAGACTGTTTTTCTTTGGAATAAAGACACCTGCCTGATTATGGCTTTCTTCTCCTGCCCTTTCAGTAGTGATCTGCAGAAACAGGCTGGGAGAAAGGGGCCTTTGGTAAACACGGAGGGGTTAAAGGGGAAACTGTTTAATAACAGTAGTAAAACGCAGGCTATTTTTGACATCTGGGTTAATGTCCATTCTGCTCCATGTGCTTCCCAAATGTGCTGCAGTGTGCCCCCAGGTACAAAAACAGACACCCATTCACAACGGCGTTGGATGTCCCTAACATATTGCACATGGTGCCCACATAAAAGACCAGCCCGATAGACTAATTAACCATGGTCAAGGAGACCTGCTCCTTCTGGGGACATGAGCATCCTGCAGAACAGCTCCACCGAGCAACTCTGTTCACAGGAAAGCTCTACACAGTTGTTCCTGCTCAAAAAGAAAAAAAAAATCTATAACTACATCTGTGGTATTACTTAACATCTTTTAAAATGGGAAAGAATGCGTTTCCCATTTTCCTCATGAAGATTTATTTATTATTGTTGTGATCAAAGTGGTAACAAATTATGTTAAATCATTTAATTTTCTTGATAGGAGCAACCACCTTGAAGCCATAACTCAAAAATATGAGTGGAGAGCAACATTTTACTTTGAGAGTGGCCTCCTACAGCTCCACAGGGCAATAAAATGTAACACTTCAGAGCCCAAAGGGCTGGAGTGGGGGCTGGGGTGGAACGAGCCAGCTCTGCACTCAGAATAGCAAAGGGCTATTAGGGTGACCA